TGGTCAGGACATGTCTGAGGATTGTTCTATGGACAATCAGTCAATGGAGAACACATCCAATCTTACTGGTAAGCACAAGAAGCATCAATCGTCTGACAATCCTAAAAAATCTGCTAAGGGAAAGCAGGCTAAAAAATCCCAACATCAATCTCATTTCTGATGTATTTTCCTGCCATTGCGGTTTGGAATGTGAGGGGGTTCAATAAACCCGAGAAAGTTTTAAGCTGTAAAAGGCTTGTCAAATCATTTAATCTTGATATGATATGTATTCTGGAGAATCGTATTCATGCCAATTCCCTTCAAGACCCGTTTTTTGCTGCTTCGCACTCTGTGTTCTCTAATGAAGGAAACTATCACAATTTTGCGCTCTCCAATTCTGGTAGAATCTGGATTAAGTGGAATGCTAGTAAGGTTCATTTCATTCCCTACATGCTATCTTCACAAATGATAACTGGTAATGTTCTGGTTGGCAATTCCGTTACATTTCAATTATCTGTCATATATGCTTCTAATAATGCTTTGGAAAGGAAAGAATTGTGGGCCTCTGTTGGCAATTGTGCTCCTGCCTCTAGTGTTCCTTGGACTATCATGGGCGATTTTAACTGTTGCCGCTATGCTGCTGAGAAGTCTGGTGGTAACTCTTTGCATCATTCTGCGTTGGTTGATATCAATAGCATGATTTTTAATAACAAGCTTGTTGATTTACACTCGGTAGGCTGTTACTTTACTTGGTATAACCAACGCACTGATAATCCTATCTTCATCAAATTAGATAGGGTCTTGGTCAATGAGGCCTGGCCGTTGAAGTATCCTTCTGCTTTTTGCTCCTATCAGAGCCCTTCTTGCTCTGATCATAGCCCTATTATACTTCATTCCGGGATTATTTCTCAAATGAATCATAGATTCCTCTTTAAGAATTTTTGGACCAAATATGATGGCTTTTGGGATCTCCTTTTACATGCTTTCTCTAAGCCGTTTACTGGTTATCCTTTATCTCACCTATGTTCTATGCTAAGACAGCTTAAAGGAGATATTAAAAGTGCAAGCTGGGCTTCTTCCAAAGTTATTTATCAGGAACTGGACTCTCTTCAAGGCAAGCAATCTGATCTTTTGGGGCTCATTGAGTCTAATCCTCTGGATTCCTCTCTCTGCGGTATGCTCAAAGATATCAATGTAAGGATCTCTGACTTTTCTTCTTTACATGCTAGTTGGCTGATACAAAGGGCCAAGGTCAAATGGCTCCAATATGGGGAAGATGACTTGAAATTTTTGTATGCTAAGATAAGACGCAGAATGGGCAGCTCTAAATCTATTGTTAATTTGTTTGCCTCTAATCCTTCCCTCTCTAGGGAAGAGGTTATTTCCCCTATTCTAAATCATTTCCATGGTCTGTTTAATCCTCCTACTCGTAATTGTTTTAATCTTAACCTTTTTCCTATTGGGGATGTTGTGCCGGATTTTTATGTTGAATCGCTTATTGCCCCTGTTTTGGATGCTGAAATTAAATATGCGGTTTTTAAAGGCTCTTCCAACTCTGCTCCGGGGCCAGATGGTTTTAATTATCATTTCTTCAAAGTTGCTTGGCATATTATTGGGCCTTCTGTTTGCAAAGGTATTAGATCCTTTTTTCTCAAAGGATATATTCCTAATGGTATCAAATCTACTGCACTTGCCATCATTCCTAAGCATAATAATGCTTCTTCTATCTCTGATTATCGCCCCATAGCTTTGTGCAATACCTTGTACAAAATTATTGCCAAGGTTTTAGCTGCCAGGCTTAAACCTATCATGCCTGTTCTTGTTAAGGATGTTCAAGCTGGTTTTGTGAAATCGCGTATTTCTACGGATAGTATACTTCTTGCTAAAGACATTCTCTGCGTGGCAAACAAACATGAGGGTGCCAATATCTTCTGTGCTAAAATTGATATTAAAAAAGCATTTGATACTGTTTCTAGGGAATTCTTGTTGGCTCGTCTTTTACATAAAGGATTTCCTAACACTTTTATTAGCTGGATTAAAGCGTGCATATCTGATGTTAATTTCTCTATCGTTATTGATGGTGCATTGGAAGGCTACATCCCATCCTCTGCTGGGCTTAGACAAGGATGCCCGCTTAGTCCTTACCTTTTCTGTTTGGTAATGGATGCTCTTTCTAATCTTATTGAAGAGAGAGGGTTTAAAGGCTTTCATTCCAGTAATTTTCACATCACCCACCTCCTCTACGCTGATGATATTTTAATTATTGGGGAAGCTACGCTTGATAATTGTAATATTCTTGCTAACGTCTTTATAGACTTTGCAAATGCTTCTGGTCTTCAAATAAACTTTGACAAATGCTCCATTATGTTTACTAAGAATCAAAGAAATAGGGATTTGCTGTGTCAAGCCTTGTCTATTTACAATATCACTGCCAAGATCTCTTATCTTGGTATCCCTATCTCTTTCACCAAGCTCAAAGTTGAAGATTATCTCCCTCTTATGGATAGTTTGTATAAAAAGTTTACTGGTTGGAGAGCTAATCTCCTATCCTTTGCGGGGAGATTGCAATATTTAAAATTCACGATTCAAAATACTATTGCTTACTGGATAAGGGGCTCTATCATACCTAAAACTGTTAGCAAGCTTTTTAAGAGGAATTGTTCCAGGTTTCTGTTTTTTGGTGAAATTTCCTGCAATCACAAGCTTCATATGGTATCCTGGGACAAGGTTTGTAGACCTCTATCTAAAGGTGGATTGGGGGTGTCTTCGATTTGTGCTCTGCAACATGCTACTTTTTGCTCTGTTATATACAAAATGTACAATTCCAATACCCCCCTTTCCAAATGGCTGATTAGTTATTATCACTCCCCATGGAAGCCTCCCCATTACAAGGCCAGTGCGTTTTGGAAATCGGTTTGTGCTACTGCTATTAAGGTGAAACAGAATTTTTCTTTTGTCATTAAACCTGATGCCCCTATTGCCTTGTATTGGGACCACTGGTGCAATTATCACTCCCTTATTGAGCTTGGTGGTGATATCACTCTTGATCTCTTCAATTCACAGTCTTTAAGTTCTCTCACTTTGGGTTATGTCTGGAATCTGCCTTCCAGTGTTCCCTCTAGTCTGGCTGATCTGATTCGCAGCATTCCTATTTCCAATGTGGACGGGCCTTGTTTAATCTGGAATAATAATAGCAAAGTTTGTCATAAAGACTTCATAGAGGATTTTTACAAAGATATGACTGATTGCAATTGGTTTGAATTTATTTGGTTCAAAAAGAAGATTTTAAAGCATGCCGTTTATGCTTGGCTTGCTCTGGTTGGCGGTTTAAAAACTGCGGATGCATTGAGATTACGCAATATCCCTATTTCTGAGGACTGTTTGCTTTGTTTGCAAGGTAAAGAATCTGTGAATCACCTATTTTTTGAATGTTCCCTCTCTTTCCAAATTCTGGAATGTTTTATTCCTGAGACTAGGTTTTTTATGCTGAGACCTTCACTGCTTCATATTCTCCAATGGGTGGATGATTATCCGGGCCCCTCAGTGGAAAAAAATTATTACAAATTGGTGGTTTGCTGCATTATTTATGTAATGTGGAAGGAGAGAAATGGCAGGAGGTATGGCTGTGAGAACCACAGTTTTTCCTATTTGATTATCAGCATCAAGTCTATCTTGTATGCTAGAATATCCAGGTGGAAAAATTCTGAAGGGCTGCTGGGAAGAATCAATGGCTTGGAATCAGATGTTCTGGCACGTTTTTGATCATTTAGCCGGTTTTGGAGCAGTAATCTGGACAATGATGAAGCTCCATTGTTTGAATTCTATGTGATCGCCCCTTGGATGGCTCTCGGGCAACCAGGGGCTTCGGCTGCCTAAACTTTTTGCCATTCTGAGTCCAGATTATAGTTTTATTTTGGAGCTGGATTTCTATTCTGCTCTTTTATCTTCTCTGTTCATTTTGGGCGCTCTTTGAGCGGGGATGGGCTTTATTCAGCCTATTGTAATCTTTTTGTAATCTCTTAGTTTCATTTCAATATACGGGCAAAGCCCAAAATTTTCCCAAAAAAAAAAAATTTTAGATTTTGAATTTGAATCATATATAATGTATATGAATTTGACTTAATTAGTCTAAATATTAAGAAAACTTTATAATTAAGAGTGTTATTTAAAAAAATTCTTAATTAAGAAAAAATTATTTAGGAAGATTTCAAATTACTAAAATATATTTAATTGTCTAAAAAACTTTTATAAATCATATTTAATTACTTATGAAGATCTCCTAAATTATATTTATATTGATCAGAAAAATTTTACTTATTTAAAGAAAAATTCTAAATTATATTTATACTGATTAAGAAGATTCTAATTTTATTATTATATTCTATATCTACTTAAGGGGGAATTAGTCTATAATTTAGAAGGATATTATTGAATTTATTTTTCTAGTGTTTGTTGTTAATTCCTAACAACGTATAGTTTGTGAGAGAGCTGATATACCCCTCAAATAATTGATCAATTATATTTATTTTATTATTGAAAGAAAAATAAAAAAATCAACCCAATCTTTATGATCCTATGTTGTTCTTTTTTATTTGTTGTTTTTACTTCAAAGATGTATCACAGTATTTCAGCAATTTACCGAAATTAGTAATCAAGTAAATCTTAAGTGCCATTGTTTTGTTAATGATTTTATATAGTAAAAAATTAAAACATATCTTGCATTATAAGCATTAATGATCAAAGTAAAAAAAGAACACCTTTTGTTCTAAAAACTTTCCAACAAATCCTAATGATGATTCCAAAACCAAAAGGTTTCTAATACAAAATTGCATGAACATCTCCATCAAGTTCCTTCGGATTTAAGCATACGGCAATGATGCGACATGCATGATAATATATCATAATGTTTCTTCATAACTATAAATCCATATACAGAAGGCAATGATGTTAAAGGCGCAACACTCCATTAGATAGAATGTAAAGGCATTAACAAGAAGAAATCTTTCTAGTATTTACTTTTCTTTGTATTAAATTGAAGAATTCTTTGAACAAAAGTACCAGAAGCAACTCAAAAGCAAACTTGCTAATTTGCCAGGTTGCACAAAACAGTTACGTTACCAATAAATGAAATTGAAAGAAAAAGAATAAGAAAAGCAAATCTTACATCTGAGAGAACTTTTCTGTTAGGAAGACAAAGACCTTTTTGCCTTCGCCAAAATTTCCTTATTCGCATAAAAAGGTGATCAGATGAAGCAACGAGTATCAACACTAATTGATACCTGTAAAGTATATTTACAGCAGCCATGCTTGTGGTTAGCCATTCTATTTTCTTTAGTCAGAGTGCAGGAAACTTTCAAATTTGGTTCCCTTCAGCGATTGGGAGACTTCCTTCCAGTTCTCAATTTGATCCGGTAATGGTCTTGTATGGATCTTGACATGCTGGCTTTTGAGCTCTCTATGTGGCATTCTTAGGAAATCAAGAACATCCACCACTTTCTGCAGGGATTGAAATACATGCTATCAGTTAGGATTGAATTTTATAAGCTATAGATGAGGGAATAAAAATAACTGTTAGTTATAAACTACAGATGCAGATCAGTAAATGCTACTACTCAAACAAGTACGGAAACCAGAAAAATGACAAAAAAATGAGATGAATTATTCTGTGCGGACGCCGAACGTCGTCCAGAGCCCAATAAAAATCCTCCACGTCACCCCCTACTCAGTACCGCGATTCGGTACTGCTCGGTACTAGATGACGTGGCTGCACCTGATTCGCCTCTGGATGGTAAGCTGTGTCTGGTGTCCACACAGAATAATCTCTCGGATGATGGATGATGTATTCTCCGATCATCTGGAATTTTTAAAACCATCACATAGCAACTTGGTCAGGCAAAGTAGGCATACTGTTCGATTAAGAACGATATCCTCATAGTATAGGACAATGTGACGGGTGTTATTGAAGAACCGAATTGCATCTGCATTCCATTTAATAGTATGATTAATGTCCAGGAAAAGCTTTGTCACATCAATGTTGGGCTTATAGCTTGCAAGAACATCTGCCTGCAATTCAATCAAGAAACTGAATTAGGAGAGCATGTGCTGAGTACTTCAACCCATTTCTCATTGGGTGGATTTTGAACATCTCCATTGACTAAAAAAAATATGGGGAGATGGTAGGAATCAGACCTCATGCCTTGAATGTACGTGCGCTTTATGAGTTCCATTCAGTTGCTTGGAATCTCGGTCATGAGCATTTGCAAGAACTGAGACCCATCTGCGAAGAAGATTTTTTCTGAAGAGGAAAATAGGAGTAACTCCTCTCTTCTTGAAATATTCAACCATGCCTTCATGGTTTTGCATCAGACCCTGTAATCATAACGATGAGATAAAGGAGGAACTAAAAATGTAATATATCAGACAGTAAGCATGGCGATTCAACATTTTTATCAAATGTTAGGCATAATACAAGAAAAAGTAAAGCCAAAGATAAGTCAGGTGCCAAAATATTTGACTTTGTAACTGCATATATCATTATAAGCGAATTCATTGACATGAATAGTTTAAACTCTGAATAGATGGCATGTAATGGGAAATAGGCAAAACCTAATTCAATCATCGTGAAAAGATCAACGCGCAAAAAAAAAAATGCACAAGTTCACTCCATTGAAGGAAAAACTATGTCGAACCCCATCCAGAGACCAATAAAAATGTGTCACGTCACCCTTTTAATGTACCGCGGCTCGGTACGCTCAATACCTCGGCATCTGAATGTAGAGTTGCATCTGGCGTCTGCAAAGAAAAATTTCTGCAATCGAAGGCTACGTCCTTCATTATAGATTCTACTATGAATTGAATAAGAAGATTTATAACCTAATACCTCTGATACAAAATAAAGATGTTGCCGCCCTTTTTATAAAAAATATTGTGGCAAGCTAAAATACAATATAATCCTCCAAACACCTTAAATGAAAAAACCCTTAAATATTGAATATCGTTCAGGGCTAGAGCCCCCAAACCCTAAGTGGGGGAGCTCACTGCCCCCCTTTCAACCCCCACCACAACCTTACAATAAACATTGACCCACGATTAAGGCTTCGTTTGGGACGGCTTTCTTAATGCTTCTTAAAGCAATTTTCTAGCTCAAAATTTTTTGAACTAGAAAGTTGCTTTAAGAAGCAGTAAGAAAGTTATCTCAAACGAAGCCTAAGTCTATGCAATACTATTTCTTCAGGGCAAAATTAGGCTCCTCAGAAGGGTTCCAAAAGTAACTGCTCACTAAAACTATTCAAGTGTAACCTCACTCCTTCAATCCCAACTTGATCATATTGAAGGACTAAAGGTATTAAATTTCTCCCTCATACAATATGACAAAGAACATATTGTTTAATAAAAACAGAAACGAAACATACATGCATAGGCACAAATGCAGGCAGCATCCTAGACCTACATTTAACCAATATCATCTTAAAAACAACCAAATTTACTAAAATGGAATTTTTCAATAAAGAGGAAAGGTACCATACTCATAAATCCATTACTCAATATCAAAAGTCATAAATATGCCAGAAAATAGCATATGTACCAGTTCACTGGATTATACTGAATTGATTATGAATTCTGCATCATCATTCAAGAACTAAGCACACATGAAATTTAACTTAAATGGAAAGTTAGCATATCATTTTGCTAATTATGCATATCTGCATAATGAACAATCTATTTTTATTAAGAAGAAAATTAATCTTCAAACCATGAGTTTCTCAAGATAAATACATTTAGATTTAGCATTTGGTTTGTTTTATTTATCCAATATGACCAATAAAAAAAATCGATTGACACCAAATGATGATTTATCCACAGAAATTTATTTTTAGGTACTTACTGCACATGGAGCTGCAGAAAAGATTCACCAAACCAGCTCAAAGGAACAAGAAAATTATTAATGTACTTTGTGAAAGATAAAAAATAACAAATTGTAATCAATATTTATGCAAAGTAAGCTAAAGTAGCTTCTAAGGATTTAAGGTAGTAAAAGCTAATTTCAAAATATGTGAAAAGCCACTAGATTTAATGTAATACCTGATTAAGCATCCATTTGAAGCCAACAGCACCAGTGCACTCATTTTTAGATGCACTGCTATACCAATCTAAATTGTAAACTTTATCCAAGGTGGCGATGATAGTTGAAATATTGCTTCGTCTTTCTTTGACGGAAAAGATCTCACCGTTCGAACTAATATTGATGTGGCTATTCAACAAGGTTTCAAGCCAACCACTACCAGACCTTTGCATTGACAATAGAGCAAAAAATCGAACCGGCGTACATGCACACTCATTTCTGATAGTTGAAAAGCTTAAATTAATATGCATTCAACAGATGTCGACAAAGTAGCTAAAAACTAACAGAATAAGATCTAGTTGCCTGTTATAAGTCGTTGGGTCCGGGTAGTGAATATATGGAAATTCAGATGATGGAATGCTAGGACGCCTACAAGGTTGATCCTTCACTTCCACTCTCATTACATTGGGATTGATTATGAACCCCTTCTGCTTAATACATATTGAGCATATATAAACACTGCTAATCATTACCAAAGATAAAACAACAGTTCTCAGCACAACTGGATACTTCTTGTGAGGCTTCGTCCCAAAAGCATCCTGAAAATGGTGTTTAAAACAAACAAGCAAATCAGCTTCTATAATATACATTTGTTTGATATAAATGGAGCTTTGTAGGATTTAACAAAGACCTTAGTGAATGAGCACATGGTTTAGGTTTCTTTAGGGACAGCTTCCGTACTGCTTCCTAGAACGCTTTTCTATTATAAAATTTTCTAATTCAAAAAAAATTGTACAAAAATGCTGTTTTAGAAAGCAACAAAAAAGTTTTCCCAAGCGAAGCCTAAGTCTTGCCAAGGAAAAGCTTACATGGGCACGGCTGAAAGATCATACATCAAACATTGGAAACTAACATAATATTGACAAAGAGTAATAAGAATAACTACCTAAGTCCAATTAACATAACTCAATGAAATGCAAAAAGGTGAACCGTATAAGGTAGAATATATGCTCGAGCTAAAATTTTGTTAACGCGATTGAATCGGCAAAACCAAAAAATATGGAAATTTCATAAATCTCATCGTCATAGGAACATTTGGTAGCAAACCGAAAAGCTTGCGAATATCAAATTAAAAACCATGCAGAAAGCGGATAACCGATCCCTTCAACATCAAAACCTAGAAAGCGTAAAAATCCCAACTTTCTAGCTGATTCACATTTTAAAACAAGGCTTGTTTCTTTTTTTTTAAAGGAGCCCTAAAAGTAAAAATAATAACAAAACGAAGCATAGCAAACGAACGGAGAATCGGAGATCTTCACCTTGTTGATGGCAGAGCAGTCCTCAACCATCTTTCCCCTCTGCCTCCAACTTTCTCCCTGTTTCAACGGAAGTGCATCAGAAGAGGATTCTTCTCCTCTCTCCTCTCACCCAAGCCAAGCTCTCCGCCCTGCTTCCTCTCAAATGATCAAAATCCACCGATGGAATCCCACGGTTGCATTACAAAACCCCTCATTTCCTCTTCAACTTTGCTATATTGCCTCCTTTTAAACAAAGGCCGCCCCTTTACCCTCGCCCTTATCCCTCTCCCTCTCTCCCTCGTCGTCGTCTCTTTCCAGCGCGACTGCAAGAACTAGTTCAAAGAATAAAACAAGAGTTGAAAATGGAAGATCCTGCTAATATGCTGACGTTTATTAATAAAAAAATATAATTTAGGCTTCTAAACCAAATTATTAGAGTTTATCTCAATGATCTTAGTTATTTTATTTATATCCTCTCAATACAACGCAAATGCTAACAATACAGAAGTGTACTAATCCTAATGAATCCATTTGAAATCTTGAAGTGGGAACCAGCTAATGCAGCTGGGAGAAGAAGTTATGTTCAGCGTGCATGTGCTCTTTCAAAAAATTTTGAAATTCATTTTAATTTTATATAGAAATTTGAATAGAATGGATTTTATCATTTTATAACTAAGATAAATATAATATATGAAAAATCAATTAAAATTTTTACTACATTTTTTTTAAATACATTTTAAAAACATCATAATTAAATTATTTTCCCCAAAAATTCATGATTAAATTTGTATTAGATATCTTAATCTATATTTTTAGAAAAATCCAATAACAAATTTGTTAAACAAACATAGAAGAAGACAACTATATTTTTGATTGCTTGAAAAAAGCAGAAGAAAAACTGAATATCCTACAAAATAAGGGAAAGTTGGCCGGCTCGTTGGCCTTACCTTTGAATTGGTTTCGAACATCAAAAATTTAAAAAAAAAAAAAAAAAAAAAAAAAAAAAAAAAAAATCTCTTAGCCTGATTTTCATTAGAATTGGCTCCAAAAATTAGCAAAAAGAATTATTTCAATTTCATAATAAATATCTTCTTAAATTTATATTTTCTTTATAAAACTTCCATTCAACAACAAGTCTTAATCTCACAAACTAAAAAATTATTATATATGATATGTCACAAAAAATCACCATAATGTATTTCGAACCTCAAGGCAAAGTTTAATAAGAAAACATTCAAAATTAAATTTTGGACCTCATGAACTCTAATTTTAACAAATTTATAGTCAAGCTAAACTTATCGAAGAAATAAACCCAACGACACTAAGATCTATCCAAATCGATTCCAATTGAGCCCAAATCAATGATCTAAAGTATAGCCAGAAATTTCAAAGCATAAATTGGATGGCCAAATGATCTATAAATATGGTATGCTTATAGTTAGGGGTGTCAATTTCGGGTCACGGGTCGGGTTCGGGTCGAA